AAAACAAAAATGACAGAGGGATGGGGGTTGAAGATAAAGGGAGGATTAATATTGTAATTGCATATTTTCTGTTATTAAATTTGTTAAAATTATTAATAAATTTACCACGGGATGGAATAATACAGATCCATTAATAAATTTTAAATTTTAAAGTATGAAAAATTGCCAAATCATCATTTTTTTTCCATATAGTTTTTTTGAAATAAAAGTATTAATTTGTGGCATGTAACGTGCCAACTAGACACTTTTGTTGACGAAAGGACCAAGTTGGCAGGAAAAAAATAAAGTTTAAAGACAAATTCAGTAATTTAGTAAGTTTAAGGATGAACTTGGTCCAAAACTCAAAGTTGAGGGACCAAATTAGTTATTAACCTTTAATTATTAGAGAAAAAGAAAAATTCAGTTTCTCTTATTAAAAATATTAAAACATTTAATTATAATTGTCACGCCCTAGAATCCAAATCCGAGAACGTGATAGACGCCGTACACTTGTGAGAGGGTCCCATAAATGCACAAAGCTCAAAACTTATCCAATTCACATCTGATACCATCAAAATCTGAAGATCAAATTTTAAAATTTGCTCTAATATCATAAATTTCCAAATAAAGTCTAGTTTACAAGATCATGGTTTAGATCTAAATCTATGCTCAATTTACAAGATGTCTAGCCTTCTAACTCGTCACTTCCTGTGGTTTTCCCGTCGGTTTGCTTCTTGAAATGGTGGACAAGATAACTCAGTAAGTAAATATAGAGTGCCCCTTATTAAACTTATAGCATGCCAACAAGTGTAATCACGAAAAACGGATACAGTACGAGAACGAAATAGACGTCTCCTCTATAGGTCACGGCCAGTGTTATAAACCTCCCACTGGCAGGCACACTATTTGCTTGTGTATAATCGCCACTAGCAGGGTTGAACGAACCGGTTCTATCAATAACATGTCGACATGTACTAGCGTTTAACCCCCACTAGTAGAGTCACTAATAACATGACCACATCGGAGACAAAACAGGCAGAAGTTAACAGAAAAATCATACTTTATAGATAATTTCCAGATCATTAGGACAATCAATTTAAATTTCAAGTAAGCATACTCAATTTAATGAAAAGTATAAAAATTTCATTTCAATCAATCGTACTTGTGTAAAACGAGTTTAGTCCCGCCACCACTTCAAAAACAAATCAAAACATGCTTTTAAAAATTGTATGGGCATTACCATAAATTTACTTACCCCAAATCGCATAAAATCAAATATTCGATCTCAGTGCTAAACTGACAGAACGATTAGAAACCTAATCAAAATATCCAAGAATTAATTCTATACTATCACAAATTCAAAGTGAAACTTCATTAGGACTATCCCTAATCACGATACTATTTTTATCAATCTTTACATGATCGGACATCTCCAAATTTGTTCTTATATTACAAATTAAATATTTAAATCCTCGTTAATTGTTGGCCATTAGTGCATGAACAGTACACGTGAACGGTAACTGCACTTCCAAAAATTGGCAAAACACTAGCTAATTTCGTGGGATTTTCTCTCCAAAAATCACAGCAACTAATTAACTAATTCTCTACATGAATTAAGCTAAATCATGGCCTAAATACCGTCAAATTCATCCCCATTTCTCACGGCAGCACATGGAGAGCAATAATTCATGGACAACTCAGCAGCTAATGAATAATTTTAGTCTTAAAGGGGCTGTCCATACCAGAATTTAGCAGCTGCAAACCGGACCTAGCAGGGGGAGAAGCCGGCGGCAGTGCAGGGAAGAATCACGCAATCTACCGAAAAATTGAAGGAACCAAGAGCAATTAAGGTAAACCCAAGGCAATTCAAAGCTAGAGAAGGGAGATTCATGGCTGTTTCTTACCAGAAACTGGAGCAAATCACACCCCACAAAGCAGGAGCAGCTGGCGGTGAAGAGGAGGAGCAGAGCAGATCCGGATTTTCCTGCAGGGGGGGAAGGTTTCAAGGCTCCAATCTTGTTCTTGAACAAGAAAAGAAGGCCAAAACCAAGCTTCCTCACCGGTTTTTCAAAGGCTGGTGCCGGGTTCCCTTTTTTTTTTTTTGTTCGGCTGCAGGGGGGGGTCGGGAAGAGCAGAACACACGGGCTGCGAAGAAGAGGAAAAAGAAGAAAAGAAATAAGCCATCCTTATCCAAATTCTTTCTCTTTTAAGTCCCTCACTTAGCAAATTTTGGCTATTAAGCCCCAACATAATATTTCCTCTCATAAAAGTCCTTAACTCACTTATTTATTCTAGAAATTTTTGGGGTATTACAATAATCATTAAATATATGAGATATAATTTGAGTCATAAGTTTATTATATTTGTTATGTAATTATTATTAGATATTTAACATTTTTAATATCAAGAAATCCTAATTTTTCATTTCTCCAATTTATTTTCTTGTGTAAATACCATTTTATACTAAATATCTCCACAGTTTCATAAAAATGTCCCAATAATTTATTCCCTTCCAATTGCACCCCAAACCTAACGATTTCGTCTTGATACTTTCTTTATTTTTTTGCTATAATGGTCACGTGCTATCATGATTAGCTTTCATACACCACATTAAGTTTGTCTTTCCATATATATTTTTTTAAATATAGGTGGGATTGGATCTCTACGACTCTACATTTGTAAAACTTAATATAATTAGTTTTTTACAAAAAAAAAAAATAACTATTAAATTACAAAGACAAAATTTATTAAAAATTAATTTTTTTATTAATCTATTTAAGATATTAAGACTAACCAACAATAATACAATCATTTGGTTGACATTATTAGTTATATAACATTGACATACAAACCACAAATTTATTTCTAAGACATTCAACATAGATTTCCGTACAAAGAAAACCAAGAACCAATACCGACAAATTAGAAATAAAATTTTTTTATGCAATTAACTCCATTGCCATATTCGCAAGGAAGTAGTATCCAGAGACAATTGCCAACCTTCAAGATAATATCCAGAGACAATCTTAGCACGGAGGCATATCGGGGGGTGGTGGTGACAATTTTCCATCTGTAGAGTTACCATTCTTGACTATGAACACTGTATCCATGCCCCATACCATGTGTCGATCAAAATGGCAATGCATAAACCACACCCCTATTTGGGAAAAAGAAAGAAAAAGGGTTGTTAGCGAAATGATTGACATAACACATATTTTTGAATAATAAAAAGACAAAAATGTGTTTATAGTTCATATTAAAAAAAAAAAAGAGTGTACAGTTTAAGTTATAAAATAACCATAATATACCTTTTAATGAATTTCTTTCTATTCTAATTCATTAATTATATCATCTGCGAATTTCGTATCTGAACTTTTTTTTTTTTTTTTTGTGTAGTTTGAACTAGAAAGCTGAATTTATAATAAGAAGAAATAATGTGACGCATACCAGGATTATTAGCTTTGAATCTAATGGTGGTCCAGCCCTGTACAGGAACAGCAATAGTATTTTGGGAAGGAGGATCAACCAAATTATACGTTGAGGGATCTGTTTCATTATCGAAAGTCCCTGTACCCGATCCCACGACATAAAAACTATATCCATGAAGATGGATCGGATGGGAGCTGCCTGCATCGTCTGTAGACCGTAAAACAATCTCCACTGTGGAATTGTAGTCAAGTACCTTCACCTCTGTCTTATGTGTCAGTATTTGTAGAGTGGTGTCGGGAAATGATGTGTCATACACCCCATTGATGCCATAATAATAAGCTTGTAATATATCAATGGATGGATTAACGAAGCTAACATTGTTGACGCTAGCCACTCGTGTAGAAAATCCAAGGTTCACTAAAAATAAATAGTCCAAGCTTACGTCGACAACTGTTGGAACATCAATTGGATGTTTTTTATCAGCTAAGCTCCGGAAACTATTGGTGAAGTTAAGAAATGATGTTGTATCATTGTAGTAAGGAAGAGAAGGGAGTATCGGAGATGCAGATGGAGTATATTTCCCACTATATTTTATGATAGCTGTGGTAGTGGTATAGTCGGGGTTACCAGCCGCAGTAACGCCAGTGTAAATTCTGGCAGCCATGTAATAGTGGTTGGGACTTTGGTTAGCTTCCAAAAGCACATCAATGGTTTGGCCAGGAGATATTGCAATGAAGCTTGACGAGAATGGCTTGAGGTAGCTAGCGTCAGATGCGACCACAGTGACATTGTGGTCGGCTATGGAGAAGAAGAGCACGTCTTGCAATGCGGCATTGATTATACGTAGAAGATACGTCAAACCTTTGTGAACTGCGATATTAAATGTTCCTGAAGTAATAAAAAAAATGAAAGTATTATTATTTAGAAAAAGTGTATTATTATAAGTTCATTTAACAACATTTCTCATTATTTATTTTTTTGATTTTTATGTATTTTTATTATTTTAAAAATATATAAAATATTAATAAAAATAAATATTAAATATATAAAATAAATTTTTTATAGTTTTAAAATGTTAAATGATTAAAAAACTTACAATTAAAATCACAAATTAATATTATCAAACATTAAGTACACATTAGAAATATCATTTTTTCTTATTAGATAAACTATAAAGATTTGACCTGATTTAGAGCAGTTGTAGAGATCGCCCGGCTGCCCATTGATGGTGTAAGCATCAGAAGCATTTGGGTCGCTTCCAGAATCGACAATGTTGTATTCTTCCGCTATTGATTCTTTCCACCACTCTCCTGCATTTTAAGGGATTTCAGACTTCGAAATCATTTAAAAATGAACTGTAATAGCTAACATAATCTCCTTATATTTGGCCACCCACCTGACAGAATTATTGAGCTATTTTTTCTGTGTGTATATGTATATTCTTAACTACTTATTTTTAAATTTCATGCATAAATATGATAACTCAAGTATGGACAATAATTATCTAAATTTTAAAATAAATTACAAAAAGTTTTTGTAAGAGTTTCACGTGTAAGTTAATTTCCAATATATCATATGTATTATAATAATATGCTAATTATTAATTGCATTATTGTCGATATAGCTAACATAAAAGTGCAAATATTATACCTAATAAAATAGGGAATTCTGCAGCAGGTTTAGGAAAGGGTTATGGATCTCTTATGTTGCAATATATTACTACAGCACTGGGGATTAACTTACATACTTATAAGATTTACATAAATTTTTAATTATTCATTTTAAATTTGATACATAAATGTAGTAACTTAAGTATTATCTATAATTATTTAAATTTTGAAATAATTGACTAAAATTTTATATAAAACTCCCACATGTAAGTTAATACCCATTATATGGATATGAACTATAATGCACTGATTATTAATTGCATCATGGTTCGATATAGCTAACATAAAACTTCAAATATTATACCTAATAAAATGGGGAATTCTGCGGCAGGTTTAGGAAAGGGGTATGTATCTCCTATCTTGGGATATATGACTATAGCACCATAAACAGTTGCTCTCCACAAATCGCTATGAGCATGCCACCAAAGAGTCCCTTCTTCTGTAGAGAAAATGATCTTTTGACTAAACTTTTTCCCTGGTTGAATAGGGCATTGTGTAATGTATTCTGGACCATCTGACCATGGATATCTAGGTTGTGCAACTCCATGCCTGTCAAAATATATCTTAATTGCTGTTATGTCGAACACGTATATAATTTATCCCCTTGGTAACCCAAAAAAATAATATTGCGATGATTTTGGTTCAAGATAGTACAGTACCAGTGAAGGGTGATGTTGTAGTTGCCCTTATTGTAAACATCTACAATGATTGTCTCTCCTCTGTGGACATATAGTGTTGGTCCAGGTAATTGTCCATTTACAGTTAATATTTTCGTGGTGTTGCATAACCTCGTGTAAGGAACTTCTTCAACCTGCAACAGCAATTTACAATTAACATCATGAGTTCATGACTGTCATTGTTATTTTTCTGACTTAACTGAGATCGCAAAATATACTTACAACGAACTTATAACGAGCCGAAGCTTCTCCATGGGAGACATATAAAAAGAGAAGGAAGCATAAAACTTGAAATCCAGAGACTTTCATATTGGACGACATTTCTCAATTAAGTTGAGTTAATTGATTGTATGAATATAAACGGAAATGAGCGTGAGGTATATATAGAGCTTTGGACGTACGAAATTAATTATCTGGTGAAGGTTAGGTTAGCTTGCAACGCTAAAATGTTTTCGTTGCTCGTCATCAACAACTAATGATTGTGAAATTCATTTTGATTTAATTGGAGCATGACTTTTCAATTGCTGCTGGTTTTCCGTGTCTGAGTTGATTACTATGGGTGTGTATGATGGAGAAGGAGAACTTTCTTCCCAACTTTTTCTTTATAACGTTTTATATATTTTTTATATTTTAATAATACAATAAAAATATAGTAAAAATGATTTTTTTATTTTTTTATTTTTTTTACAATTCCAAATCAATAATTTTTTTCCACACTTTTTGAATGAAAAATATTCTCACCAAACATTTTTTTTATATAGGATTCACTTAATAATTTTTCTACTAATTTAAATTTTTTTAAGTTAATTTCTTACCTAATATAGAAAGGTTAACAACTTGATAAAATTCCAACAAAATTTAATTACCAAATTTATCGAGTTTACACATAGCGCTTTTTCAACTACTTTTTCAATACAAACTTTTTTAATAAAATTGAAATATAACCAAATAGACCCTAGGTTAAGTATGTCCAGTAAATTTCTACTATTTTCAAATTTAGTTGTCTCACTTTTTATTTTAATAAGAAATTAAAATTTAATAACTTTTTATATTGTGAGTTTGGGGAGTGGGTCGGAAAGGCTAGTGGAGATGTTAGTAAATGATTCTAAGTGGGAAGTTGGTGATGGAAGTTGTGTGGGTTTTTGGAGTTCTAAATGGGTGGGGAATGAATCTTTGAAAAAATTATTTCCAAGATTGTTTGCTTTGGCTACAAGTAGGGAGGGGTTGCTGAAGGATATGGGTTTTCGGAGAGATGAGAGTTGAGTATGGGAGTGTAAGTGGTGAAGTGGATGTGTAGGGAGGGTGGTAGGAGAAGCTAAATAGCTTCAAGAGATGCTTAATGGGATTG